CCTGCTCGTCCCTACAAAAACACATGTCTCCCCCACCCTGATCTGGGCAACTCAGTTGAGTCATGATGAATTCTGCATTTCTGGGCCTCAGTTTCCTCATTTGTACAACACAAGGCAGATAGACCAGGGGTTTGCCCTCTGATACCCCTTCTAGAACTGCCACTGTGTGATCTAAGGGCAGGGGCATCAGCCAGAATAAGGAAGAAGGGGAATGAGAGATGAGTGCTCAGCAGCCTGGGCAGGTTGGTGACAATTAACCTGGCACCTCCCTAGGCCTTTGTTCCAAGAGGGAGGAGGCTTTCTGCAGGGAAGGCCCTGGGTAGGGGTTCAGTTCCATCCCCACCTACTGAGACAACAGGCAGCTCTCTCAAGGGCATCAGAGAAAGGGGGCTGCCCCAGATCTCCCACAGCCAAAATGCCCTCCGGCCGGACTGGCTGGCCAAATGTACTCCATCTCCCAGCGGCCTAGTACTACAGTATAGGGGGTTGAAGTTAGACTATGGGAAGGACTTCCTGGTGTAAAGGATTTTGTTTTTGCTCATGGGTGGAGAAAGGAGCTTCACATGTCTCCTCTCACCCCACCCTCAGTGTAAACACGGGCTCCTGCTTGTCAAAACGGAGGGAAGGTGAGGCAAGCAGATACCGCTCCCCCAATGAGCCCTCTCACACACACAAGACAGAAACCCTCTTGACTTCCATCCCTACTGAACCTGTTTGGCTGCGACTACTATAGGCTTAGGATGGCTTCGAGCAGAACTTACCAGTACAAATGGGAGTTGAGCAGGGGAATGACAGCCCACAGAGGCTATCAAAAAAATCGTCACCACGAATGTCAAGGGGCACTTCTCAAGGGCATCGAAGTATCTCATGCAAACTTGGAGAGGTGGGAAGGGCAGAGAGAAGGGCTCCCCCTTCCCCGGTGCCCAGATGCAGGAGGAACAAGAAATCTATGATGGTCCAGAGTAGCAGCCACCATCACATGGGCCTGTCCAGGAAGCTTGGCCACCAAGTTGCTATGTAACACTGGACAAGTCATTTGACTGCCCTGGGCCCCCATCTCTTCCTCTGCAAATGAAGGGTACAGACCAGCTGCTCCAAAGGCTCCTGGCTAAGATTCTGGTTCTTTTGGACTGTGATTCTGGGTGCTAGCACCAGCAGTGAGAGGGAGGAGACCTAGCTATTTGCCCATGGTCATAGGGAACGTCACTGAACTGGTTATCACCACATTCTCACGACAATGACAGCCCGCACCATACAGGCCCCAGCCGTCTCTCCTGCTTCAGTGGCCCACCCCTATCCCGGGCATCATGGGGTTAGGAACCCCAGGAGGAGAACAGATGGCTCTCAGGCTGACAGGGAGGGTAGTAGGTCAGGACAAGGGAGGAGCAGATAAGCTGAGGGCCTCATATAGGAGGGAAGGGGTGAGGCTTCCTGCAGGAAGGGAGCTGGTAGCACAACTGGAAAGGGACTGGGATGGTGGAAATGGTCGTGCCAAAGAGAGGCCGGAGCCTGGAGAGGACTGGCAGGGTGGGGAAGAGGCAGGGGGAGCCTCAGGCTGGGCTGGACTGGGAGGAGGGAAGGAGAGAACTCAAGAGGAACCCTGACAGCCTGCCAGGGGCTGGGATGTGAGCTGAGGGCTGTGGGAGCCCGTGTAGCAGTCTAAGCAGGAGAGTGTGAAGGAGGCAGAGTTTGAGAGGAGTAGCTGAGCCCAGAGCCCCCCAGTCTTTATCCTCAAGGCAAAACTGGCCCTAACTAGAGGCAGAAGCCAGCCAGGAAGGGCAAGTGGGTCCCAGGGCCTGCAGTGACCCCAGCAGCAGACAGGAGACATGTTACAGTGGTTAAGAGATTCTAAACACAAACTAACTGGATTCTACACCTGGCTCTACCACTTGATAATTGTGTGACCTTGGGCAAGTTATTTAACCTTTCTGTGGCCTTGTTTCCTCATCTGTAAAGTACAGCTAATAACAATACCTACCCCATGAGGTTGTCGTGGGGAGTTAATGAGTTAAAGATGTCAAGCCCTAGGACAGGCCTGACATCCAATAGAGGCCATATAAGCATTTGCTATTATTACTATTCCAAAGCACATCCCAGGCCCTTCTCCCAACAGCCCTCAGAGGTGGGCAGGCCAGTTGATACCATCTCCAACTTCTACCTGCTGAAACTGAGGACCGGAAAGGCTACAAGTCCACAGTTGCAGGGAAGATTCCATTTAAGTACTAACCAGGCCCTACCCTGCTGAGTTTCCAAGGCCAGATGAGACCAGACTTGTCGAGGGGGCGCAGCAGATGAGCCTCTGAGGTTCCCTGGGGTCTCCCGCCCAAGCCCCAGGCGGGCATGGAGAGCCTGTCACATTCACATTTCATTCCCCCTTCACTCATCTAGCTGGCCCTGCTCCTCCCTACGAAATCTTTGCTAACTGGCTCCGCCTCTCTCTGATTCCCTCCTATCTCACCATCTTCAGTTTGAACGATCAGTAATTGGAGATGCCACTTGAACTTGCTGAGTAAGGGCCCAGATAGGTGCAGAGAGCAGATGAGCTACCACTTCCAAGGGAAGCCTCCACGGGGGCAAGGTGGCTGGCCCAGGGCCTCTGCGCCCAACCCGTCCACACCTGGCCCTCTCACCGAAGCCTTCCTACTCGCCCAGGTGCAGGCCCTGGAGCAGCGCAACCGGCTGCTGGAGACCCGCTGGAGCTTCCTGCAGGGCCAGGGCTCTACTGCCTTTGACCTTGGGCACCTCTACGAGAAGTATCAGGGCCGGCTGCAGGAGGAACTGCGCAAAGTGAGCCAGGAGCGGGGACAGCTGGAGGCCAACCTGCTGCAGATGCTTGAGAAAGTCGAGGAGTTTCGAATCAGGTAGGGTGCGCCCTATGGGGGCTGTGGGCAGGGACTGCGAGTGGGGACCAACCTGCACTCGAGTGCAAGGTCTGGGGCACCCAAGCCAGAAAAAGAGGACACTTCTTAAAAGAACAGTTCTTTATTCCAGACATACTTATTGAGAACCTACTATGTGCCAAGTGGTATTTTAAATATTGGGGGAATATGGCAATGAATCCACAGCTTCCCTACCCCCAAACAGGGAGTCTTACGCTGAAGTCATTCTTACGATGTCTGGCAGATAAATCCTGTGCTTGCTGGGCCCACCCTGAGTACCACTGCAACCACCATCTCCTATCCCCTCCTCCCATTCCCATAAACATGCTTGCTCTCACCCACACGTCCCCTTGGCAATGGGAAATTACGTCACCAGCTAGAGCAACAGATGGGCTCCTGCTTTGGATATGCAGGAGCAGGTGCAGGCAGAGGACAGAAGTGGTAAGTTTCATTAGAATAAAGAAGCAATTCCCCCGCAGGTAGTGCACGCTGACATTAGTGGCCAACTTGGGATCTGGAGAGATGAGGGAAACACAGCCCCGGCCTGCAAGATGCTTTTACAACTTAGCAGGGCAGACAGACAGGAACAAGCTGGCAGGCAATGTGGCCCACCAGTGTGGTTAAGGGCCCAAGCTTGGGTATAGGCATTTACTCCCTGCCCCCATCCCTCCCTAGCTTTGTGATGTCGGTCAAGTTGCCTAACGTGCAAACCTCAATTTCCTTCTGTGTGGAGTGGGAAGGATGATGGCTGACACCAACTAAAGCTGCTATGAGGAAAAAGTCGGGAGTTCAGTGTGGCTATAAATGGCCATTCCTCTATCTCTTGAAGGCTGAAGTGCTCAGCACACAGTGTGGTGCTTAATAAGTTTTGCTGAACTGAATTGGCCAATCTAGAAAGGCAGACCAGGCGATTGGGTGGCTCGGAGGAGAAATGACACTCTCCGACCAGAGATGGGCCAGGGCTTCATGGACAAGGAGGCTGGGCAGACCAGAGAGGTTGTGCACCTGAACCTGGTCTCCTTGCAATGAGGTCCCCATCCAGGGTGAGGGGAGGACAGGATATGGCTTAACTCCATCCTCCTCCGCCAGTGCTTGGGCCCTACTCCAAGCCCTGCTGACCCAAGGTGAGGCCTGCTGTCTCTAGAACAGCCAGCCAACCGGGGCTGGAGGGTGGGAGCAGCCTGTCGGGAGTCCCAGAACCTGGGCTGAGGCTCAGCTTGCCCAGCACCTCTCTGCATGACCTCTCCTGCTCAGGCCGCATTCAGAAGGGATGGTCACACAGGAAACTCTCCCTACTCTGGGCCTCAGTTTCCTCATCTGTGGATCTGATTGGAACTTTCCAGCCAACAGGCCTGAGTTGGTCCTCATGGCTGGACCCCTCCCTGGCCTGGGGGCCACCTCTCCCCAGCCCTGCCCTCCCAAGTCCTAGGGAAACACATGGGAAATCTGATTGCCCATTCTGACCACGCTGGGGGAAACTGTCAGTGCACCAGAAACTGTGACTCATTTCATCGATATCTAATAGAAGCTCAAAGACTCAGAAAATGGCAAAGCTGGATGGGGGCCTGGGATCATCCTTTTAGGAGAAAGAAACACAGGCCCAGAGAGGGCAAGGGCTTGTCCTCTGTCACACAGCCATGCATGCTAAATCCCATCCCTAACCTCGGCCATCCACCTCAAGAGGCTGCTCTTGTGAGCCCAGCCAGATCACATCCATGGAGACACTTTGTAACTGGAAGTTCTGTACAAACACTACGTCTTGTTCTAATCTGTCTCAGCCCCCTCATCTGGCTTGCTGCCTGGTTTCCATCTGCTGCTTGATATTATTACTTTGGTTTAGGGCTTCTCATCCCCTCTCTGGGTAGGAAACCCACCTGAGTTGAGGGAAGCGACGCTGGAGGGCTTTGGGTCTGCAGACCAAAGCAGGGGCAGCTGCAGCCTGGCTGTGCAGAGCCTGGGGGCCTCTAGGAGCCAGGAGACGCCAGGCCAAGCCCTGACAGGGAGGGGTGTGCCCTGCCTCTACAAGGCTGATGAGATCAGCTTCACTCCTAGAAATAAACAAGTGGGAAGAGGGGTACGGGTGTGACAAGCTGAAAAGGACTGAGAACGAGTTTGGGAGCTGGTGGTTGGCAAATTGGGGATTATAGGAGAGATGGCATCACCTAAGCCTCTATAAAAATGAAGACTTTCCAAAGCTTTGACGTAGCCAGGACCCCAAAGACCAGCTAGCTGACATTTCTATTTACTAAGAATGAAGCAGAAGCCCACCTAGGCAGAACAGCTGGCCCAGCACCACACAGTACGTGATTCAGGAATGCTGCATACAGCTGTGCACGCTGTTCGCTGCACGGGAGCATCTGCGGGAGCATCTGGTTGAGGGGGCGAACCGGGGCTAAAATCCAGGGGAGTCGATGAGCAGAGAGGAGGGAAGGCTGTACAAAAGGATGGGAAAGCAGTGAGGGATAAGGAGGGGTTCGACACCTCAGAGGGCCCCCACTGGACAGCTCTCCGGAACCAAGGCAGGCAGAACTCTGCTATCCAAAGGGAAGAGGAGAAGGAAAGAGATTTGACCACAAGGCTGTGTGGGGAAGGCCAGTCAATGAGGTGTTTTTCTAGTTCGGGCTTCCCAGGCCCCTGTCCCCAGGGCAGGGAATTCCTCAGCAGACCCCAGATCTCAAAGAGAAACCTGTTCCAGTCAGCCCAGCCCTGAGGATTTGTGAAGGATGTGCAGAGAACCACCCACTCTCTCTCTGCAAAGAAGCTTCCCACAGTTTCTCTCTGAAAACGCTAGAGGCCAAGGCAGAGGGGCCGAGGGCATGGGCCTGGTGTTGGAAAGAACGGAGCTCAGGTGATCATCGTAGCAATAGATTTAGTGGGAGGCAGGTACTGTTGTGAACATTTCATGTACTAACTCATTTTGGCCTCACGACATCACCATTATCATGACTAAGGCACACTCAAGTGGCTTATCCGAGGTCACACAGCTGGTTAGCAGGGAAGCAGGATTTGAGCCCAGCTAGCCTGGCTCTGGAGCCCCATGCTTAACCAGCACACCACAGGAGCCTTCAAGCCCTCCTCTGAGTCTCCATTTTCTCATTTGTGAAATGAAACCAACAGGACGGGGACTCTGAGGGTCACGGGAGCAGGTGCAGGTGAAGTTTCTTGGGCATCTTTTTCACCCTGGTAAGCCCAGACTGCAGAACAGTCTCCCTGGCCCACCACTCCACTCCGCCCTGGTGACTTACACCCTCAGAGCCCCACACAGACTCTTGGAATCCAAGGCAGTAGCCAGAGAGAGTGCACGCTCAGCACACTGAGTTCCAGGACCCGAATGCATTGTGGGCTCTCAACCAGGCAGATCCGCTCCCCTCAGCTCCTCAGATAAGTCGATGGAAAAGAAGGCCTGAGGGGTGGCAGAAGAAAGCCTGAGGGTGGCAGGTCCAGCCAGCCTATGTGGGCGGACGATGGGTGACGCTGCCCCTGCCGTGAGGTGGGGACTGGGGCAGGCGGGCGGCTGTAATTAGAGCTGCCAGTGATTAAAGCAGTCCCTGGAGAGGAGAGAAGAAAACAGGAAGCCAAAGAATCCCCACTTCTGCTGGGGCAGCTAGGGCTGAGGGGGCAGTCTGTGGATAGCAGACGCCCACCCCAGGGAGCCCAGACAGACATCTTCACTAGAGGAAGAGGGTAAGGTCCCAGATCCCATCTCCCATCCAACAGTGTCCTTGAGGCGGACTTGAGCAAGGAGGCAAATCTGAGAAGAGATGGGATCCACCTTAGTTGAGTACTGACTATATGTCTGCCTTTGCATCAGGGGTGGACTCCGCAGCCCCCACGCACGCACACATCCCACGGTAGACAAGGGAGTTCAAGAACGAGGGGCGGAGTGACCTGCTTAAAACTACACTGGGGGTCCATCTTACTGTAAAGCCCATGCTCTTCCTGTCCTCCCTCTGGAGGGAACATGAAGGGATGGTGTCCTACCATCTAGTAGAGGGGAGAAGGGTGGGGCTGTGGGGAGGGTGAAAGTGAGAGAGAGTGAAAGATAAGCAGAATGCTTGGTGCAGACTTGACCAAAGGTACAGCTTATTTGAAACTGAGACTCCTGTGGGAGGAGACAGGAAAAAGAAAAGAGAACAAAGTATCAGAGTGAAAAGGCCGCACAATCAGGAGAGGCTTCGTGGCAGAGATGAATGTGGAGCAGAGCCAGGAAAGGAACAGATGCCACTAGGAGAGGACTGGCTGATTGTCAGGAAAGAGAACAAGTTTGCTTGCTTCCCCAGAGCCAACATTGGGATATCATGGGGGAGAGGGCTTGTGTCATAGAAGACGGGGGCTCTATCTGTCTGAAGGAAGGACCGCTTTTTTCTAATTGGCACAGTGTACCAAATGCGCTCACAGCAGAGGCCCTGATCCCCACCCAAGGAGGGTTAACCAAACCCCAGGCCCCTGCCACGTCCGGCTAAACAGCCTCTCTCTCCCTCCTCTCCTCTCTCTCCCTCCTCTCTTCTCTCTCCTTCCTCACTCCCAGGTATGAAGATGAGATCTCCAAGCGCACAGACATGGAGTTTACCTTCGTCCAGCTGAAGAAGGTAGCCTGCCCAGCCTGCCCCAGGGAATCCTTCCTCATGGACCAACTGCCTACTTTCCCTCCAGATCCCTAAGCAAAGCCCTCAAAGGCCTGAGTCCCAGAACCACAGATAGGCAGACAGACAGAGAGATACCTGCCCCCACCCTGCTCATCCTCTCAGCTTCTGAGCCAGGTCTCCTCTGAGAATCACCCCCATCTCACCCAGGAAGCAAAGGCTCCCCCTCCACTCCTGCCCTGGGATGCCTCAACTCTCCCTCTCCCATCACTCACCACTGTACCCACCCCCAGGACCTGGATGCAGAGTGTCTTCGACGGACCGAACTGGAGACCAAGTTAAAAGGCCTACAGAGCTTTGTGGAGCTGATGAAAACCATCTATGAGCAGGTGAGAAGACAGGGCCAGTGTCCTGCTGAGCCAAGAGCTGATGGGTCCATGGCCCAGGGGTGCAGGGGAGGGAAGGGCAATCCAGTGGGATGTGGAACCTTCACAGTCACTCACTGTTTCCGGCCACAATTGTAAGGATTCCCTAAACTCCTTCCTGCACTACCGTCAATAATCCAACATTTTCACTCATTACTCATTTCATGGAGCATGGGCAGGTTCCCAAAAGACCACTCTCTCAGGGAGAACCTGTGCCTTTTGTGTGCAGAAGTGCTGAGGGCACATAGGGGACCAGGTGCATCTGGACGAGGCTCAGGATGTGGCCTCAGAGCAGGAAACCAGGGGTCTCAAATGGCCACTCTTATTGAACTAATCTATCCCTGCAGCCTAACTCTCAAGCGCCCACAGTTCCAGCTCTGATGGTAGAACACACGTCGCACTTCCCTATTCGGGGCCAAGGCAGAGAAAACCTGTAGTTGGATTCTCTGGTTCCCAGACAAAACTAGATTTTGCACAACAAAAATGACCCAGTCAAATGCAGACAGAGGAGCCTCCAGACATTCTCATTTGTCCCTAAGTCCTCAGCCGAGCCTAAGGGGACAAGGGCCCAGTAAGGCCTAGTACATTGCAGGTGCAGTCAGCAGATGGCCCCTGCTGCTGGCTGCTGGACGCCACCCCTCTGATCCATTCTATCTTCTGGGCCTCCTTTGGGATCTGTGGTTCCCTCTCTACACCCCTTGTTTCAGGGACAAGGAGGTATAGGGGTGATGCTTCGATTCAGCTGTGAGTAGGCAGAACCATTGTTGGAGATGACAGGACTTGGCAGCCTATATGCTGCAGACTGCTGGTGCCAAGCTATGGCAACACGGCTAAGATTAGGGCAGGGATCAAAGTCGCCACTGCAATCAAAAAATTCTGCTGCAATGGCCCTAGGGGCTGCTGACCTTGACTTCATGGCCTCGTCCTCTAGAGAGGGAGATTGGGCCTCATGGCTGCCACAGCCACACCCCTTCCATCAGACTCAGCCCCCAGATGGGGTTTCTGTGGGCCTGAGCCCTGTTTGTGGCCATGGGAGGTAGCAGAGCAGAGAGAATACCGTGGCCCTTGGGAACAGCAGGGAGGCAGACCTCCCAAGCAGACCACCCACATCAGCCACGGTGAAGAGCTTCATGTCCCTGGCAGAGTCCTCCACAGGCAAGCCAAGCCCTTTGTGGATGAACCAGGGGCACCACTGATTGGCTTGAGAGGCAGGTTAGTGGCTCCTCTGCCTAAACTCACTGTGGGTCTAGCCCAGGCAGACATCAGCAAGACCAGTGTGTCCAAATCTGCCCTCTGCACTGTTTGCCCACATCTCAGCAAGCCCAGGGCCCAAGTTCTAAGCCAAGGCAGAGGTTCTGCAAGTATGGAGACGTAGCTGGAGGAAGGCCAGGCATAACCTACGATAACCTGAGCATTGCCAGAGTCACAGCCCCAAAACTCCTTAGCCCCTGGCTCCATGTAGATTTTACAGCCCTTGGACCTCAATCCTGACTATATCTTTTTTTCTTTTTCTTTTTTATACCATTTCTGTGACTTTGGACAAGCTATTTCTCTACTCTGTGCCTCAGTTTCCTCACCTATAACACGGGATGAGTAATAGTTCCAGGCTCATGGGGTTGTGACGAGGACTAACAAATGTTTAACAAATGTTTTCTGCACGCCTGCTAGGTGCTAGGCACTGATATCACAGCAGTGAACAGGACGGCCAAAGTTCCTGCTCTCAGGAGGGGACAGGTAGTAAGCAAGTAAACAAACATCTGAACAAGATGATTTTGGAGGGTGAAAAGTGCTGGACTGCAAAGAAAGCAAGTGATGAGATAGTGCTGGAGGGAGGGGAAAGCGTCAGACCCCAAGGTCAGGGGAGGTCTCAGAGGAGGTGCAAGCCAGAGGAGGCCCAGGAAGATCCAGCCCAGTAGAGATGTGAGGAGGCTGTGGGCGGAAGGAAGAGCTGTGCAAAGCACCTATAGCAGGAGTGAGTTTGGTGATAAAAGGGAGAGAAAGAAGCAGCTGTGGCTAGAGCAGAGCGGCCAGGGGTCAGCTCACGTAGGGCCTTGGGCCCTGAGCTGGGCTTTGGACCTTATTCTAAGTGTGACAGGCAGCCCTTGGTGGGTACTGGGGAGGATACTGCAGAGGGGGTGAAGGATATGGCTTGTGCTGGTATAAGGTTGCTATGGAGAAGGGACTGCAGTGAAATGTCGTAGGTTCTCAGGGCATTAGAGCAGTTACTATTACTTTGAGAGGCAGCAAGGTGCAGGTTGGTGTTAGGACGTGAGGTCTGCGTTTCTCTCCATGTTCCGCCACAGACTGAGAAGCCAATACTGACCCTTTGCTAAAAAGTTTCCCCATACCAGTGGAGTCTCTAAGCCGGCACTAATGGAAATGTAACGTGAGCCACATATGTCATGTATTTTAAATAATTTTATACATAATTATGTAACTTAATAATTTTAAGTTTTCTAGCAGCCATATTTTTAAAAAAGGAAATAGAAAAAATTAATGTTAATAATATATTTTATTTAGCCCGATATATCCAAAATATGATTATTCAACATGTAATCAATATAAAAAATGAATGGGCTATTTTACATTCTTTTTCTCATACTAAACCTTCAAAATCTGGTGTGTATTTTATACTTAAGCTCATCTCAGTTCTGATTAGCCACATTTCAAGTGCTCACAACCACATATGGCTGGGCTAGTGGTTACCACATCAGACAAAGCAAGTCAAAGCAGAGGAAGGTGTTAGCCACGGCCACCTCAGGTGGAAGAAAACCATGGCTGACATCAGTAGCCCCAGGAGGGCTGGACATGCTGGTTTCCACTTTGGAGCGACACACACACACACACATGCACGCACGCACGCACGCACGCACGATAGAAATAAGGCCTGAAAGCCTTTCCCAGGAGCCGAAGTCCATGGGCTGCTCAGGGCCCCATCTACTGCTACAGCCTCTTGAGCAACCCCTGCCCCTCACTTCCAAGTACACAGGCTAATGAGAGAAGCCTGGGCTGACAGGCTCACATTCCCCTTCAGCTTCCAAGGTACTCTCCAGCTCCAGAGGGCATTTGGGGCCTGGCTGCAACCAGCCAGAACGACGCCTGCCCCACCCATAAACTCTGGTTCCAGGGAGATTAGCTAGCAATCTGCTGACAACCCCCTGCAGTCGGGCACACCTCCTGGGATGCAGATCACTGCATGGAGAGCCTGACATGGGTAAGCTACTTTGGAGCCTGCCTGGAGGTGCCTTGGGGAGGCTGCTCCAGGAATGGGCTGCTCTTCTCCTGGACACTTTGCCCCAGCTCCATCACCTTCTCCAGTTATGACAGTATCCCTAGCTATTATTTAATGCAGGCCTACTACATCCCAGGCACTGTGTTAAGTGCTTTACAAATAGAATCTCATTTAATCCTCACACTCTATGAAGTAGGGATAATGATTAAGAGAACACAGACTTTAGAGCAGCTTGGCTTTGAATCCTGGCTCAGTAATTACACGAACTCGGGAACAGGTTCTTTTATGCCTCAATTTCCCCATCTGTAAAAGAGGGAAAATAATAGTGCCCGGCTCACTGGCCTGTTGTGAAAATTTATTTTGTTAGTATATCCTGAAGCCCTTGCTGTGGCACATGGTAAGCATTTCTAAACATTAGCTGGTTTTAGTTTTATAATTATACCCATTTTACAGATGAAAAAACTGAGGCTCAGAGAGGTTTAAAACCTTGGCCAGGTTACCCAGCTCATACAAGGTGGTGGTATTCAGATCCCAATGCCATTATACACTGTATTTTACCGAGCGGCACTAAGCTACCCCCTCAGAGTCACTGTCTACACTGACCTGTGGGTCACACACGTGGCGGCGTCCTCAGGCTCTGGCTCCCAAGAGAAGCTCTAAACTTTACTTCAGCTTAATTCTTTCCAACTTGGGGGTGCACATCCCATGGTGGCACTTCCACACCATACAAGGCAGCATTGTTATACCTTCTGCAGCTCCAAGGGGCTGGCACGTCTGAACAGGTCTGTAGGTGTTCTAAACCCTCCATTTCCTGCTTCTGTTTACCAAGCTTGCGCTTACCCTGCCTCTTTCTAGAAAGGATCTGAGGCTGCTCCATCAGCTGTGTTTTGCCAGTCCCTCACCCTGACCGGGGAAGCCTTCCCACCATGTGTTCTGACAGCGCCCTGGCCTTTTCCTGGCCCATAACAAATGCCAACTTAGGCCTGGGCTAGAAGTGCCAATGGAGGGCTTTACCTGAAACTCCCCATGCCCACTGACCCCCACAATTTGTTGACCAAAGGAGCCCCAAAGCTGCATCTCTGAAACTGTCCACAGCCAACCAGTCCTTGCCAGGATGTCAGTTCCACGTGGGAAATGTTAGTCTCCGAGGATGAGCGGGAGTAGTAGAGGTAGGGCATGAGTCCGTAGGCACCATGCCATATTCTGGCATGGGTCAGGCTCTCCCCTGCTTTTGCACAGAGATCTCTTAAGTTCATTTGAAGATCAACCAAAACTCCTGGTCGGGAAACCGCCAAGGGGCAGTTAGCTGGCCTCTAGGCTCAGGGTCCTGCCGGTTCCCAGGCAGAGACAGGTTGCCGCCAGAGGGGCTTAAGGATGCCCACCACTCCTTTTCTAGGAGCTGATCCTTGTCACCAGGGATGCTAGTGGGCAGCTCAGGCAGGGAGCAGACAGGGAGACGGCAGCCTCCCTCAGCTGGCCTCGTGGCTACTCATGTGGCTCCAGCTGCCCTGGGCCCTGCAGTCTACGACTACGGGGAGTCAAGCTGCAGGTCAGAAGTACCGGCTTCTGCAGGCGGACACCAGAGACTCAACTACAACCTCTTTGATGGACAGAGGGTCAAGGGGCGGGAAGCCAAAGTCAGGAACCAGGGTCAGAATGAGGTCATGAGCCAAAACTGAACCTGTATCCAAGCAGGCCTCCAGATCCAACTGCCAGCTTTCAGAAATGCAGGGGCAGAGGAGCATGATAAACACCAGCCCACGATGTGACAAGTAAAATCTAGACTATGGGGGATGCTACAAGGCAAGCAACCTGATGTTTTCAATTTAAAAAAAAAAAAAGAGAGAGAGAGAGAAAGAGAAAGAGAGAGAGAGGGATGGAGGGAGTATCTATAGAATAAGAGACTTAGAGAATATGGATTGATTGCAATGTATGGACCTTGTTTGGATCCTGGTTCAAACAAACAAGTTAACATATATATGTATATATACCAGAAAAATGGGAACACGGACCAAAATTTGATGAATGAAGTGGGGGGTCAGGGCTGGACTGTGAATGCCAGAATGTGTAACTGTAAGTCCCTGGCCCTCACCCTCTCTCCTCCAGATGACATCCACCCCCACCTCCCAGGGCACCTGCCCCACCCTCCATGCTCCACGGAGGCCTCAGCCACCTGACTCACTCTATACAATGCTGGCCACCAACACTCTGCTTCTGCCCCCTCCTCCTCCTTCCCAATGGGCAAGCAGATCCTGGCAGTTATTTAGCACACCCAGGGAAAGCAGCCCAGGGCTTGAGAGGTGACACCTTGCAGCCCCTTCTGAAGACCCCTGACCCCACCTGCCTCTCTACGCACCCCTGAGCATTCAGGCCAGAAGCTGTCAGGCATGATAGAAAGCCATTCTGGGGAGGAAAGACAGACAGGGGCTTCAGCAGAAACAGCAAAGGGCTCTGGGCTCACAGCTTTTTACATAACCTCTTCGTGCCGCAGTTTCTTTCCTGTCTGTAATCTGGGGCTAGCTCTCATGCCAGCCTGGTGAGGATGAAACGTGAGGCTGCCTGGAAAGCACTTAGCCCACAGCCAGGCCTAGAATGAGCTCCTGGTGAAACAGGAGGCTTGACCACTTGCAGGGGTCTCTGAGGATGGGGATTGGCATGTTCTAAGCAGAGAAGAAGACAGAGGAGGGACACAGAGGGGTCCAAAATGATAGGGAGAAGATAAAGAATATTAAGGCCAAGTCTTATTGTTGCTGGGCAAGCCCCTCAGCTAGATGAGGAGGGGGCAGTGAGTCTTCAGAGTGACCCTGAAGTCACCTTAGCCTTGGCCTCTGGTGGGGTGGTGGGGCGGGGTATATGGGGAGTAGAGGCTTGTCAGCCTCTAGCCCCGCTCCTGCCCCTCATCATCCATGAGCTTTCATTCTAACATTTATTCAACAAACTGAGATGCTCCCTTGCCCGATATGGGGGATCTGGAGATGAAATGGCTCTGCCAGATCCTCAAGGAGCTCCCCATCCAAGGAAGGAGGCGAAGCTGCACACCACTGAGCCATAATGATGCAGCAATGAGCAAAAGGGACAACTTCCCCGGGCCCAGACATCCTGGGCCTTTTTGGATCAGCCAGGAGGAAGGTGTCCCACCCTGGGAGGGGGCCACAGCATAGACGGTGGGGAAAAGGTGAAAAGGAATAAGGCTGGTAGGGTGGACCTCTGGGGCCAAGAGTCCTCCCTGAGTCCCTCTCCTCCGCTCAGAGAGAGAGGCCAAAGGGTGGGCGAGTAGGGGGGGCGAGATGCTTCCCTAGTACAAGCTGAGAGGCATGGTGGGGAGGCATTTATGTTTTGATCATCTCTCTAGGGAGACAGAGTAGCCCACCCTGCACCCACCCTGGGGATAAAGAGACAATGGGGGACTATGGAGGGCTGAGGGTCAGGTGCCCCCCGCACCGGCCCTGAGCCCCCCATGTCTGTGCCTGGCCAGGAGCTAAAGGACTTGGCAGCCCAAGTGAAGGATGTGTCAGTGACCGTGGGCATGGACAGCCGCTGCCACATCGACCTGAGTGGCATCGTGGAGGAGGTGAAAGCCCAGTATGATGCCATCGTGGCTCGCAGCCTGGAGGAGGCCAAGGCATACTCCCGGAGCAAGGTTTGGGGCTGTCAGCACTGGGTAGACGGAGGCAGCCAGGACAGGAGGGGCTGCACTAGCCATGGCTGAGGTTGCCTTCAGCTGTGTGCGAAGATTCTGGGACAAAGGAACAGGGAAGCAACGGGGGGACCATAGCAGTTGGCTCACTCTATGGGGTATAGAGAATTAGAGAGCCCAGCACTGTGCTGGGTTTCAGCTGTGTGCGAAGATTCTGGGACAAAGGAATAGGGAAGCAAGGGGCGGGGGGACCATAGCAGTTGGCTCACAGGGAGGTATAGAGAATTAGAGAGCCCAGCACTGTGCTGGGCCCCAAGGGGTAACAGGGGCAGGGAGAGCCCACAGTCTGCATCCTTCAGAAGCTGGCGGTGCTGCTACCCAGCAATGCCTGGCCAGGTACGGGCACAGCCCATGGGGCTCAGTCTAGGGCAGTCAGGAGGAGGACACGGTGGGGGAGGAGACGGAGAGAGGCTGCCCTGGAATGGTGGCTACAGAGGAGGAGGTGAGGCTTGGGGTGGGGGAGAGAAAAAAGGGCAGCAAGAGGTGATGGATGGGGGGCCCTGGGAGGAACACAATGAGCAGTCCCTCACCATCACGTCCTCTACGCCCTCCAGCTGGAGGAGCAGGTTGCCTGCTCAGCTGAGTTTGGGAAAAGCCTCCAGAATAGCCGCAGCGAGATCGCTGACCTCAACGTACGCATTCAGAAGCTCCGATCCCAGATCCTCTCCATCAAGAGCCACGTGAGTTCTGGAGGACCCACCTGGAGGTGGCGCAGGGAGGAGTGCAAGGACTCATACTGTCCCACACTCACAAATGCTGAGTACACGCAAGACCCAACTGAGTGACCTGGGCAGGTCACTTAGCACTTCTGTGCCTCAGTTTCCTCAACGGTCCTCCTAAGATAGCTATGGGGATCACATAAGCTTTGCACGTGAAAGTGCTCTGTAAACTGGCCAGGGCTGTTGGAACGTTAGAGCGCCCCACCACCACACATACCCAGAGCCCACCGCCTCCCGACAGCTATACAGAGAGAAGGGCGTAGAGGCCTAAACCCTGGCTTCCAGCCAACTCAAGGCTTTAGAGCAAGTGCCGCCCTGTAAGGACAGCTGGGACAGGCTCCTTTGGGGGCTTGTGGTACTTCTCTCTTTGGCAGCCTTCAGAAAGTATCTCCTTAGGTCTCACTGAACCCCCTCTTGCTGCAGTGCAACCCATTACCAGCCCAGGAATGCGTTGTTTAGTCCTCTGTCCCCCAAGCACAGAGGTAGCCTCCTGGCCCTGGCCCACTCTCCCTCCCACCCCTGCTCACTGAGCCTTTCCAACTCTGTTCTCCTGGCTGCAGTGCCTGAAACTGGAGGAGAACATCAAAGAGGCCGAGGAGCAGGGGGAGCTGGCCTTCCAGGACGCCAAGGCCAAGCTGGCCCAGCTGGAGGATGCCCTGCATCAGGCCAAGAAGGACATGGCGCGGCAGCTGCGCGAGTACCAGGAGCTCATGAACACCAAGCTGGCCCTGGACATCGAGATCGCCACCTACCGGAAGCTGGTGGAGGGCGAGGAGAGCCGGTGAGGGGTGGGGCCGGCGGGGTGGGGCTGGAGGAAAGGGAGGCCTGAAGGACCAGCCCCCACACAAAACCAGCCTGCCCCTCTGGCACAGTACTGTGAGCCTGGCAGGCCTGAGTTCCTGTCCTGACTCAGCCACTTCTGAACTGGGACTTTGGCCCAAGTCCATTAAATTCTCAGTTTTCCCATCTGGAAAATGGGCTAATTATAAACATGGCCCACCTGAGGAGAAGAGGATTAATATGATTCTATATGCAAATGCCTGTCACAAACAAGCGCTCAGTATATACTAGTCATTTATACAGGGGAGAAGGGACAGAGGCCCAGAGAGGACAACCTGGCTGGCCAGGGTCACACAGCAGGGCAGCCCAGGGCTGGGAGTGACAATCAAGAATTGCCCTCCACCTGCCAGTCCCCAGGCCCCCAATCCCAGGGGAACATAAGCCACAGGCTCCCTTCACATCCCACCATTTCCCACCTTTCCCAGGATGGACTTGCCTTCAGCAGCCATGGTTAGCACTGTGCAATCCAGATCCAGAACTGGTGAGTCTGTTTGCCCCTAGAACCCATGACGAGGAAGGCGACGAGGGAGGAGGCGGGGTAAGGGGGAGGTCACGAGTCTAAAAACATCATTTTAAGTGGCTCCCATACCTCCAGCCCCTTCTCTCCCCCACCCCTTGTGTTCCCTGTAGTTGCTTCCAAGTCTCACCTCTCGAGAGCCCCCTCCCGGAAGAAGAAGAACAGCAGGGGCCATGTGATCAAAGTCACCGAAATGTCAGAGAAGTTCTTCTTGCAGGAGTCAGAGACCTCAGAATAAGGCAGCTGGACTCCAGGAGCCCCATGTCACTCCGCTGCAGCAAGACTCAAGAAAACAGCTTGGGGCCTCTAGGTTGGGAGGGGAAACAAACCTGATCCTGAACAGAGAGTTCGAAACAATGATTCTTCCTGGGGGTGCCAGGGGTGGGACAGGACTGTCACCAGCTATTCAGAATCACTGTGCTCCATATGAATATTCACAACCCCACCTGTCCAACCTCTGGCCAGAAGTTTCCTGACTGGAAAACTGGAATTGGGGTCAGTTTTGTCTCTACCTCCTCATTTCTCTGAGACTCCTCCCCTAACAGAGGGCTCTGACCAAGGTCCCTTTGACCCTTCTGCCCAACCCTTGCCCTAAACTCACATCTCAAGTCTTGCCTTTGCCTCAGCCTCGAGGCCAGTGCCCTTGCTTGCCCAGCTCCAGCCGGCTGTGGACCAGAGGCTGATGAGTTCTGCTTGGGCCCCTCCTCATATCTGAAGTCCCGTGGAGACTGGGTCCTGAGCGTCCCTGGCTGTCCTGCACCACCTGGGCTCCCCAGAGACCTGACAGGAGTGAAGGGAAGTGCCTCTCTGGGTAGTTGGGACCTGAGCCTGGACCTCTGAGATCGGCCCAGACACCTGTGCTTCTTCCCTCCTCCCGCGGAGTCCTCCCAGCAGGTCACAGTCAGAATTAGACAGGCTGCTCAGCCAGCTCCCAGAACCTTCTCCAGAAGCTTTTCGTGCTTTGATGAGCTCCTTGGGGAGAAGGCTGATGGCAGCCCGAGACCAGGCACGGGAATCAGACCCTCCCTTCTCCTCCCTGCCGTCCTGGGGTTCACTACCCTACCCTGGATCTCAGCTCTCTGCCCCCGACCCAGGTTTTTCCAAGCCCGAAACCTGACTTCGGTGCATCAGGCCCTGTAGACCCCTAGCCCCATCCCAGCCATGAAACTGCAGGCCTATTTCTCATGAATCGCTTCTCAGGGTCTCTGTTCTTCCCATCAGGATAAACAGCCTGGCCCTGCTCTCCTTTGCATCCATCAAGGAGCCCAGGAACACCCCAAACCTGCGGGTTAGAGCTCCTGCCTTTTCTTCCCCCTGTGCTCCCCTTCTTCCATGTCCTCTCCCCTGTCTCTGGCAGGGCCATGAAGAAGGCACAGTCCAGGCTGGTCTGGAAGCTTCTGAGCCCTTGAGTTCATGCCGAGGCATCCCAATGACACCGAAGAGAAATTCTGCATCCAACAAGATTTGGGGATGGGAGGAGTGCTCTTCTTTTTTCCTCTTGGCTCTTACCTTTGGGGCTCACAGGGGGATCCTGGCAGCTCTAGCCTCCCACTCCACAGCTACCTCCTCTCCTTCCCTCTTCTCTCCCTACGTGCCCCTTGCCTCCCCTCCTCTTCTAGCCCCAGTCTTTGATTTATTCATCTCCTTTTCCAGGAGGCCTTGGCCCCTCCTAAGCCTCAAGCTCCTCCAGCCCTGTGTGGGGTTGCTGAAAGGCTACTACTGACTCTCTCAGGCTGGAGGGAATTCAGACATATACTCAGCCCTGGAAGTCCCAAAGGATGCTGATTGCTGCTTTTTCTCCGCTATTTATTGGTTTCCAAGGGAGCAAATCCTCAGTGGGGATACAAGATATATAAAATATATGTATATTATTTTTTCATAACTTATGTGGCTTTTAACTTATTGCTTCCCTTCCTTTTTCTGCATAATCAGTGGTATATATTATACTATCTGGATAGACGACACATACCCCAGCCCCTCCACCTGACCAGCTGACTATTTGTGAGCAAGGCCCCCTTTCCCTGCCAAGGGATGAATAAAGTGTTAAGATTTGTTCATGGATAAAGCTGTGTGTCTGCTTTTATCTCTTGGGATTTGTCTGTTACTTGTCAAACAGGTTGACTGTGGGACTTTGGGAATTCTCCAGTTATGGAGAAAGGGGGCCAGGGACCTAATTATACCTTCAGACCAACGTGACCTGGACACAGAAAGGTCACCTGCCCCACAACCCTACAAGGAGACTGTACCAGTGTTGACCTACGTTCCCAGTGACTCCTGACATGTCCAGGCACCACGTGGCCGCCTTAGCAAGCACAGACGTGGGGGATTTCCCCAAGTGGTGGCGGGTTCCTCCTCAAGCACAACTGTGGGGGTTGACACAGCCCAGAATATATTCTGATGGGTACAGGCCTAATCCTGCCAAATCAAATTTTAGATCAACAAACAAGAATTAAGGACCTTCTCCAAGCCCAGCCCTGTGCTAGGACATCTACGATTGTTCCCCACCCCTTCACCTTAGGAAGTTCACAAACAGGTTGAGAGAGAAGCCATCTACTCAAGATAGCCATCCTGGACTTCCTAGCCAAGTAAAGAAGGTCAGAGAAGAGAGGGGCTTGTGCGGGGAACCCAGGAATCAGAACAAGCTGCTGATTCCGAGGAAGTGACTAGATAGACTGAAGAAAGAACAGGTGTCTCAAGGACAAGAATCAAGGGGGCAAAGAAGGGACTTCAAAGTATTGAGACCTCAGATAAATGAGCCCCTTTGCTCCTCTGTATAATGAAGCACATGTCTTTCCTACTTACCTAATAGGGTGTTTGGGGATTTGATGAGATAGATTTGTTCATTCCTATCAGGAATTCCAGACTGCTTGCTTCTGGCACTCTGAACTGTAACAGCTCAACAAATGTAAAGGATTATTAGTGATGTCGTTATTGTTATTATAGCAGATGTTATGGATTAAAGACCAAATACAGGCAAATGGGCCTCAGGCTAGCTCTCTCAAGACTCAGGAGAGAGAGACCGATGAATAAACCACATTCCCATCCAGAGAGATCTAGAGCCAAGGCCAGCTCTCTACTTATTTTATCTTTGTTTTCTATTCTGTTCATTTCTGAATTATGAATTTCTGAATACTAATTTGAATTTCTGAATACGAATATGAATTTCATAGTCAAGAACATATAACACATTTGTTCTTTCCTTCCCTCTACTTTCTTTGAATTTATTATTTATCACTGTCCAACTTCTTGACTTGAACGCTATAATTTTCCACCTTTCAGCTTTTTCAATATAAGATTCTCTGAAGACCATAAATTTCCTTTCAGGTATCATTTTGACTGTCTCCTACTGTTTTCATATGTAGCATTTTTATTAGTGCTTAGCTAAAAGTATTTTATTCTTTGACTCATAAGTTATTGAGAAATTTCTCCATACACAGCTCATTCATGTCACAAGCATTTATTGAGCACATACTTAGTCTGTGCCTAGCAATACTCTGGATGCTTAGGAAGACACTAAATTCATCCAACAGTTATCTGTGTAGGCTGGACTCCCTACTTTAGCTATGCCTTAGTTGCCTATTTTTGTGTCTTCTATCCCCCAAAAGACTCTAAACTCCTTGAGGACAGGGATTGTAGCCCATTAAATCCCCTGGGCCTTGCATAGTGTCTGGCTCATAGTAGGTTTTCAATAAATGTAAAATAAATGAAAGAATGAATGAATGATGTACCTCCCCAACTGAGGTCTCCTAGCCTAAATGTCCCATGAAAGTGAGGGTATAGCTCCTTGACTTTTGTATCCCCAGTGTTAATGCAATGCTTGACATATTGAAGGAGCACAGTTAGTGTGTGCAGAATAGGAGGAAGGAAAGAAGGAAGGAAGGAAGGAAGGAAGGAAGGAAGGAAGGAAGGAA